GGGGGGGGGGGGGGTGTCCCTTGTGACTTAAGTTGTGGGTAGAGACCTGTGTAAAGGATTTTTGGCAATTTCGGTTTCATCACATTGCGTCTCAGGCACAATTATATATATCTATTTTTTGGTTTGGGTTAAGTTACATTCCAAGAGGTGTACATGTGTGTAAGAGTCATTTCTAGAATCACAGTTTAATTGTGTCTGTTTATTTCCAGTGCTGATGGTTTTAAGGTTGCAATGGATTACACAAGAGCATCCTTCAGGTAACTTTTCAGACCAAGTTTGGCAAACTTGGCTATGAATTCTCCTTCCTGATTGTCTTGTGTTTTATCACATGTTTGTTTTGAAAATTTGGCAATGCATCAAGACAGTACCTCTTAGTTACTGTTATCTTATTTTGCTACCTATCTTTATTGAGAATGTACCTGAAATTGTTAGAAGTAATTAATACTGATCACTCTTGAGAATTAAAGGGTTTTAGGTAGAAATACATTATTCAGCAGTAGAATTAACATAAATTGCTTTGTTGTACTTTAAATGTTGTTCAGTATTAAGCATCAAAAAGCTCCACAAGGGAACATGCAGCAAAGAATGGATGCATTCATCAAGAATGTATGTACCCCAGACTCCCATATGAAAAGGACAGGGGTCCTCGTCGTACCTTTCAGAGGTTAAAAAAGCATTTTTGGTACCAGTCTTAGGGTGTTCAGCGGCTTCAGCCTCAAATGGTCCACAGCAGGAGCTTTTGCAATACCTTTTAGGGTACTGAGCCAAAAAAATATGACTGGAAATAATGTGTTGTCTTAGGATTGGTACCTCTTGGCAGTCTTAGGGGTGAAAAACATTTCAAGCCACGTCCACAAAACAGGATCTTGGTACCTCTAAAGGGATTCTTTTTCAAAATTTTTGACAAGTACCCCTGTTCTTTTTACATGGGAGTCTCCCCCAGGGTATTGCTCCATATTATCGATCCTTGGGTCATTCATACTAAAATAACTAGTCAAGAGTGTTCACTGTTAATTTTTATTGACTTAATAGTTGGGACCCGAAAGGGTAGTGTTCAGTAAGCAACTACCAGCTACTGGTTCATAGTCTAATATTGTTAATTTCTTTTCCAGTCCTGATGGCCAGTATGTGATATGTGGGTCTCATGATGGTAGTATTTTTGTTTGGAATGCAGCAACAGCAAAGCTAGACAAGATTCTTAAAGAACACAGGTAAGCATTTGTTTCAAGTGTCTATCATAAGATGATTATAGTTTAGAATAGAATTTTTAATCAAAAGAGATTTGCTAAAACAAAGACGTGCAAAAATTTCTGGAAGATTTAATACTCATCGTTTCGGTGTCATCGTGACGCTATTACCAAGAGAAAATAAGTACAAGAAAGTGAATTTTTAAGTGGGCTAGAGCTGAAAATTAACATACTAATTAGATGGCTGAGCAAACACTTTAGTACCAATTGAAATTGTTTTTCTTGATAATACATCATGGTGACTCCAAAATGTGGAGTATTGATTTTAATCAATAATCAATATTCTTAAAGATAATTTTTAAAAAATCTTTAAGAATAGAATTTAAAATAGAAAATAGTATCATGATGTTTGACTGTCAAATTATTTATTAATTAAATCATGATACTTATTATATTCGTTACTTTTACAACAGTTCTTCAGTAGTCGTGTGTGCGTGGCACCCTGACGGCTCAAGCATCATCAGCTGTGATCGTAACAAGCATGCAATTATCTGGACAAACAGATACTAATTAAGCATTGGATGATGTGCTCTTCAATCAAAGAAGCAATTGCAAGCAAACACCACTTGTATGCATGGTTACAACAAGAATTATTAGTCATAAATAACAGTCTTATGTAAGTTAAGATGTCTAGTTTAAGATTGCAATCTTTTGGCAATGTAATGTTGTTTTAGATCTAACAGAAAATTAAAATAATTTAAGACAGTTTTTAGAAAAGAAGGGTTTGCATTAGGTATTTTGTTGTAAGAAATTATTTTTTGTGCATATTAGAGAAAATGTCTCTTAAAGTGCAGCCAAAAAATCAATAAATAAATGACACAAGTCTTGATATTTTCTTGAATAAACAACCCCCAGCCAGGTCAATAATAATTTTTGCTCTGTTAATATAATAATATTGAGATGATGTAATTTAAAATGAAAACTTACCCCTTTCTCTAAAAGCAGGCTGAAGAAATTATTTTAGGTTTACTCCAAGTATAATATTATCTCAGAATTGAAATAAGTGCCTGGTTGTTTAATCAAGGAAATATTTTCAGCATTATTCCTGATATATACAGTATTATTATATATGGCAAGGTAGTCTTGATTGGTTCTTTCTTGGTCGGGATTTTGCCATATGGACCGTTCCATTGAAACAGTCGTAAGCTGTGTATTTGTTGTTTTCGAAAGCCAGCAAATTCAAAACAAGCATGGCCCTAGTGCCATATAATAAACTACTTACTAGCCTAGCTTGTTCAAAAGGCAATTGACATTATTCCAGGGTTAAAACTTGATAATTTGAGCTCTAAGTTTCTTATGCATAAGCATGGCCAATGTTGTATGGAACTTGAGATTGGTTGATGTCAAAACTGGAGAACAGAAAATATAAACAGGAAACCTCACTGAACTGTTAGAAAACTGTAATCGAAATTCGCACTTCTGGATTGGCATAATCATCATTGAACAACCAAGCCCAGACCTGAAACATTCAGGATACTCGCAAAAATTTTTACAAGTACAGTGGAACCCTGTTAATCTGGTCACCAACAGGCCGTATTAATGGCCATATTAATTAAAAAGGTTCTTTAGCTAAGAAAATGACTAACTGAGCTTTTGTTCAGGCTGGAAGAAAGTGGCCATAATAACGAGGTGGCCATTTTAATGGGGTGGCCATAAGACAGTGTTTCACTGTATCAGTTATTCAGAATCCTCCAGAACCCAAGGATTGGGTGGGGATGGTAGAGGGGGTACTTCAGGAAAAAACTGACTGGGAGGTGAGGGGGACTTTTTTAACATTGACATATTTTGCAACTATTTTGGAGATTGTTGTAGTACATCCCTAAATTTTCTTTGATAATTTTTGAGAAGTCAAGTTCTTGTGGATTCTATGTAATCATACTTATCATAGAGCCTTAATTGGCATAATTATAATACATAATATTGCAAAAGAACCTTTTTCATTTTGATAGCTTTTAAACATCGGGAACTGTACAATTTACAGTCATTTGAGGGGTGTCCATTTTTGTCTAATAAGCTCCTTTTGGGGTTTTATTCGTTACCTTCCTATCACCTTCTTCTAACAATACCCCCGGAAGCGCAAAATTGTTAATGTAAAGACAAAGGTTAAGAGTGAACGAAAATAGTTTGTTTCTTTTCAAACTTTCAGGAATCAAAGTTTGCCTAGTGAATCTTTAAATCCCAATATCTCCTCACTGGTGTCATGTTTTTGTCACAGTAGTCAAGCTTAGGAGAGTTTTGATTTGCTGCTGTTGCTATTAACAAAGTACTTTCCAGCATATCCTGGTCAAACAGACAGCCTGTTGCCACAAGACAGGGAAAATGTTATGAAGTGCAGTATCTATTTTAGCAGAAGTCTACTTTTCTTGTCAAAGTCAGGGAAATTTAGGACACTGTAGATTTTGATAACTAAGTGCTGTTGATAGAAAATTGTTGTGCAAAAAAAAAAATTCTGCAGAATAAGTTGATAAAAGCATATTTGAAGTATTAGTTGGCCATTTTTTATTTGATCAGTTTTATGGTCAGAGAAAAGTCAGCCAAGGAATTTTGGTTTTTCTCGTGGGTGGCCAAGCTGTTTAGTTAAAATGAAGTAATTTAATCATTATCAAAATCACACTTGTCTAATAGTTTCCATTGTGGGAGCATTTTGAGTAAAATAATAAACCTGGTCATTAGAACACAACGTTTAGGTTAAAAAAACACAAAGCAATTTTTCAAACCATGTTTTTACCAAGCCCTGTGTGTAAAGTTAATGAAATGTTCGTATGGAGAAGCAGTGGAATGAAAATTGAATTGAAATCAGTCAACAAGTCCAAAAATTATTTTATTACCTGGGGTTTTGTGGTGTTGCTATGGTGTTTCATCATGATTTTAATGAGTGGTTTTAGGAGATTTACCCAGTAGAGAGGCTTTTTAAAATAGTTAATTTGGATTTCAATAACTTTTGCAGTTCCAGTTCTCCATGCAAACATGACACTTTGGTCTCTTATGAATGTAGTGTGCTTCAAAAAAGGGAAGTGACTTATGCTTTCTGTTGTTATTAATTTTGCTGCAGTGAGCTGTGCTTGCTATAGATTGCTGCTGTTTATTCTTGTAAGACTCAACCAGCTTGTAACACTTGTAAATACAACTCAAACTTACTTTATACAAGAAACAACATAGCACAGCCTGAGGTAAATAAACTTGTGTTCTTCACAAAATGTCTGAACATTGATTTTATCACTATTCACCAGTTATTGGCCAGTTATTCAAGTCATTTCAGTGTTTTGTATTCTTGGGAACTTTGGCTCATTTCCAGCATGTAAATAAGAGCGCTGTTTTTTATAGGCTCGCAATGCATGCACAGGATAAGCTATGACTAGATGTAATGTTGCCTTTAGTCGAGTCCTGGTCCTGTCTCTGTCACACAATGCTACAAGAGAGTAGCATTCCATGACAGAGACAGGGGCAAATCTTAGATGTCTGTACTATGCCTATGTTACATTATTCAAAAGAAAACAGCATTTGAAGTTTGATCTAAGTTTATTTCAAAGAAAGCCACAAGCAGATGGGACTTAATTTCTTTATGAATATGCAATATACAAAGTTACGTGTTTCAAGAACAAAATCTTTGTTGACAGTCCAGTAAGTAAGCAGAAAATAATTTTAATTGTGATCAATTTCAGGAAGCTATTAAAGGGAATTATGAGCTAATAATTTTGACCCAAAAAGCACTTGTTAACATGTACTTAGTGCTGCAGTCAGCATGATCTCTGAAATTGTCAGCTTTTAGCTTGTAGGGCACTACACTATATATATTTCTGGTGTCTATACATATACAATTATATATTTTGTTTTTAAATAGAAAGATTAAATTTACATTTATTATCACAACTGGGAACAACAAAGAAATTAACATAATTTTATGCTGTTCACCTTTCTCGCAACCCCTTGGAATGAAACCTTTGTGAAAGAAAAAATCAAGAATTTAAAAACGAGCAAAAGCCCTCTCTAACTAAACATAGAACACTTCTAACTTTTTACTCTATCCTGCACCCTGGTAACTCTTTCATTTTGCCTTGCAACCTACGCTGTACAAAAAAATATACAAAATAATTTCTTGTGAATTAAAAATTAAATTATGTGACTTTTTCTCTGGAAAAAGGTTCATTGTCTTGAGGTGTTGTTTATGTAGCACTTGGGTCAGGATTCAACCCCAAGGAACCCTCTCCTTTGTCACCATGATCATGGTGATGACTGCGATGACCTTTCTTTTTGTGGCC